GGAGGGGGAGGCGGCTCCCACAGCCAGCCTGGCAGCCACTGAGAAACCTTTGTATCCCCTCTCGCAGCAACAGGTCACACCACACGCCTTTTCGAAGGAAGTGGGTAAACAGCACCAAGACTGAGATGATTTCCTTTAAACTTAATGCCGATTTACTTTTTGGTGCGGGCTGCTGAAATGGGGACGGGGCGCGAGAAGCCGCTAAGGTGTGGGGGTGGGGCAGGGCAGAGTGGGTGGTTCAGGGCGACTGTCCTCCTAGTGTTTCAGGAAACAGGCAGCGCCGGAGTTGGCGTTATTGTTCTCCCGCTCCTCCGCGCGCTCCCCCCAACTCCAGCCCCTCCAGCGCTTCTCCCGAGCCTCGCTCTCCCCTGGGCCCCCTTTTCTCCACAGTTGTCCGCGCTCGCTCGCCCCCTCCACACACTGTCCGGACCAGAAGTTAGGAGGCGGGAAGCTCTATCCTCAAAACCCTCCTAGCTTCCAGGCCATTTGCTCTGTTTTAAAAATCCACCCTGCTCGGACAAGGAGGCCGACTGCAGAGCTGAGGCTGGGCAGGCCCTGGGTGAGCTGCCGCGACCACGCTCTGCCCTGCCCTGCCCAGCCCTGCTCTGCCCAGCTCAGCTCAGCTCAGCTCGGCTCTGCTCAGCTCAGCTCGGGCGCAGGAAACCACAGCTTGTCAGCTTCCCCCAGCCACATCTCCCACAGCCGCGCTCCATTCAGTCGGTGCAAAGGGGATGCTCATTCTCTCTCCCCATCCTCCTGCTGAGCCGCCCCCAAAGAAGGATTTTAGTTGTGCCGGTTTCAAAAGGAGGCTGGGGATGAAAGAGCCCAGCCGAAGGACGCTCAGAAGTGCAGGCTATGGGGGAGCGTTAGCTCAACTTCCTGGCGTGCCACGGCTCCATGGAGGTGGCATTTGGGCCGCACACACCAACTCCCTCCCACGCAGAGTTTCCAGGACTCAGGCAGAACCAGCCCTGGCATTCCCACCCCCAAGTGATTGCCTTGCCCCGACGGTCCGCCCGGGTCTGCAGGCCGAGCTCTGAGGGGGGTACCCCCTAGGTCTGGGAGGCTGGGTGGTGCTCGCCAGGCACAGGTGCAGGCAGTGCGGGCAGGAAGAGGGCGGCCAGGACTAGGAAAAAGGGGAGCCCAGCCAGGCCAGGGCTGGAATCGGATGGGATGAGGGCGGGGATTGGGGCTCAGAAATCCTGCCCGCCCAGGACCCAAGAGGGTAATTTTAGCCGCTCTCCCATTGTCCGGACGTAAAGATTTCAATAGGTAGGCGCTCAATGCGGAGAGCAATGGCAGCACGTCCGTTACAAATAGGTAGTTTTGTTTCTCTTGTTGTCGCTACACGGAGTCAAACAAAGCCCCGTCTAAGTTTCCTTCCACTCTCTTGTTGGGATCTTTGTGGCTAAAATGCACTTGACTACAAAGGGTGAGGGGGGGGGGAGAGGGAGAGAAAAAAATCCTCGTTGCCATTTCTTTTTTATAAAGGGCTTAAACCATCGGGGTTACTTATTTTCTAATTCTTCTGTAACACCCTCTCCGCCCCCTCGTCCCCTGATCCCCCCTTACGCACCCTAAGAAAATGTACTGAATAGTATCTGTCGGCCACGTTCCATTTATTATCTTTACAAAACTTTCCATTGTTTTGTTCCTCACTAACCTCCCCATAAACCGTCATTATCCCAGTCTAACGTCTTCAATCTCTGCCCTCCCAGCTTTTCTGCTCTTGTGAGACTCAAGGTAAGGATGCTCGCTCAGAAAAGTTGAGAAACAGAAGTCTGCAGTAGACTTGTCCTAATAAATTATTATTTCCAATCAACCCCTACTCCCACCCGCCTCCCGTAGTTCTCCTTTTCCTCTTAAGTTATGGTTTGTTTTCTTTTGGTTCTTGGGAACCTGGGAAGGAAGAGACAGGCCTTCTCGAAACGCATAAGTATGCCACTCTTCAAAATAAAGCCATGTCTTCTGTTTATTCGAGGTGTAATATTAAGCTAATCTCGGACATGAAGACTAGGAAAGAGAAAAGGTTTCCTGGATCTGGAGTCCGGCTTTTCAGTGCGTCTCGGTTTCAGGGATGTGGCTGGTGCGCCCCCTACTGGTGCATTCGCTTTCCCAAGACTATGGCTTTTACCTTTAAAAGGTGTTTGGAAATAAAGGAAAGAAAAAAGAAAAAAGAACAGGAGGGGGATGGGAGGAAGATCAAATTAATTACATGTAATTTAAACAAAAGAGAAGTTAACATATCATATAAGCTATGGAACCAAATCATAAGAGTCAGATTTAATTTGCTTAACTTAGAAACGTATGCATATAACCTCAAGATAAGTGGGAGGTTAAACCATGGAAAAGTGAGGTACAAATTATGAGATTCAACATATGAATGAGATAATTGATTGTCCAGACACCACGAAGGGCAAAACAAGCATTCATTTTATGATTGTGTATGTGTTGGTCTGTGCTTAGTAACATTATTCTAAAAACTAGGGGGGAAGAGCCTAATTAAGTTTGAAGACAAAACCAAGAAGTGGTGTGGATATTGGTGGTGTATATGTATTAAAATAAATATTAATAACAGATGGTTATAGAAGCAAATGTTTTTAATCTCTCTCTCCCTCTCCTCTCTCTCTTGGTAGTAAGTAGTAAGAAGCACAAATTTTTCCTTGGGATAATATGTAAAAGCTTTTATACATTCTCAGATGCATATGTTTGTGTCTGAATTCTACAATAATTCATTTAAGAGGTTAAAGGGGATGGCTAGGTCTTTTGCTAATTGTTTTTATCATATAAATAAGCTATGGAAATACGGTACAATTGTGTTATCATTGGTTGCATTTATTTACAGCTTTATTTTAATTAAGCCTGCAGTACTTATCAAGGCAATAAACTAACTGTGGCTGGTGTTTATGCATAATAATGTGCTATGAAAGTAAGATTAAAGAAGATGGTGATAGCAGAAATAATTTTCTCATTAGACTTTTTTTTTTTAGAACATATGCATTAAAAAAATCAGATCACCGGCCACTCTATTTCAATGCAGCACTATCTCCGGCACCTAAATATAATAATAACTATAACAATCACAATAGATGATAGAAACAGTACTGTTTTAGGCTTATAACAGACGGTTCCAGTACTAATAGCAACACACCATTGACTACTAGGGAATTAAAATAAGACTTGGACGAGGGTGCTTCATCTTCCAAAATTCCAAATGTTGCCATTGGCACAATTTATGAAAACTGAAAGTGCTTAATCTAAAAAGAGTGGGCAGCGAAAAGCGGCACACTTTAGAGCAAGACTGGAAATTAAGAATAAAAATGCCTGAATCCTGGGCTATTCAGAGTTGATTTTGTTCTACTATAGGCCCCAGCCAAGAATCCTTAACTGATTAAATGTAGCTCAATTTTATTTAAAAAATCTTTTGCATGGATATTTTTCTCCTGAACTCCTCCTCATCCCTCCTCAAGTATTATATCTGAAGCCAAATAACACTTTTGTGGATAGGGGACTGTAGACTTATTTTTTCTTCTTAGTGGCAAATAGAGGTTTAACTTGCAGTAATTAGGTGAGAACTAGCCAAGCATCTTACTATTATGATGCTTGTTAAAAAAAAAAAAAAACGCTTCTTTTCTGCATCTGCATTTGAGTGTGTTCCCCTCCTCTCTTAATCTTCTTATGGAAATGAAGGTAAACGGCGGGGAACCTGCAGAGTCCCGGAGAATGTCCTTGTTAACTGGAATTTCTCAGCATTGCTAATTAGCAGAGTTTGACGACGACCACCAGTATTGGGGGGGAAAGCTCTGTTTAACCACTCACAAACCATTCTGAGGAAGAGCAGACTGATTTTATTTTGTAATTAAAATCTGAAAAGGGCCCTATTTGACAGTGAGGGCTATGAGAGTTTTATCTCCCCGTGAAATAATTACTGCCTTGATAACTCAATTTTCTGAAAAATGTCAACTGTGGGCTCCAAAAGTTTTAATTTCATTATGTGAGGGGGGGAAAAAAAGAGAGCAAAATAGAAGAAAATGTACAGAAAGGCTTTCTAATTCTGGAACTGGTTAAATGTATTAGGAGCCAGATTTGGCCAAATGAAGGGTTTTTGTTTTGTTTTGTTTTTTGTTTTTTCTCTCTCCCTTTTTTCTGTTACGTTTCCTCCGGATCCTAACCTTCCAACTACCTCCACTGAAAGTGACCAGGGCAGCAGTGATCATGCTGCTGTGAAAGAGAACAAACCAGTGTGGGAAGTCAGAGGCAAGTAAAAAGAGAAGTATGGAAATCCAAGAAAATTTCCTGATTTTAAAAGCTAAAAATAAAGGGAAATCCCAGTGTTTAGGACAATACTGGTGCAATCTGGTAAGATGAGATTTGATTGATGCTTGTCCCTTAACACAAGAAAACTGAGAATTACAGAGTAAGGAGATCGGTATAACCCAATGTTTTAAAATGTTTCCTTTTCCCCATGAAGTTGCAAAAACAGTTCAATCACTCCAAATTGGAACATGCCACAAGACTTCCAAAATGGTCAACACTTGATTCTCCAAGATTTATGAAACAAACACAGATAAATAGAGGTAAAGGGGGGGGGGATATTAGAGGATTTCTTTTCCTTAAGAAGGCATCACATAGTTTACATATTTTCAAAAAATAATCGGTAAGACACAAACTGGGAAAAGCTAGGATATTGAAAGTAAGAGCAAAAATTAGAATAGAATTTTACTGGGATCGAACTACGTTTGCTTTAGATAACTGTGAAAGATCCCTCACAGGGAACCCCAGAGGGGACACTTCAGTTTTTATAAAGCAATTTTCAAAATGACGGAAACTCTTTCATCTACATTTCCTTCATTTTCTTCCTATTGCCAAACTTGTCAGATTTTGGAAGTGTGAAGGATTATTGACAGGAACTATAAGAAATGTTTCTAGATGATACGAAGACAAGCATATATCTCTATCCCTCTTTACTGACTAAGGCATAGACCTGCACATGGAGGCATGGTAGACTGGCAATTTAAAATTGCTTAATCATATTTTTTCTTCTTGTCTGTCCCTTCAGTGCCTTGCCTTTAATTTCTAGAAGTGGTATTACACATAACAAATGAACAAGGCGATAACAAATGCTATTTCAGTCCAGACCCAATTTCACCAAATAATTTCACTCAAGAGCTGTAAGGACCCTTGAAACCTAAGGAATGCAGAGCTGCTCTGCATTCAACTCCTTTTCATATTCATTCTCTTTCATCTAATTCCCACTGATGAAATAAATACATTTTAAAAAGAATTTGGCAGTTAGAGAACTAAATATATTTCCCTCTTCAAATTATAGCAACAAAAGTGATCTATAATCACTTGTAGATGTCTTGAGTGCTATATATAATAACCATCATATTGCTTATAGCATTACATATATATATGCACATCCTCCCTATATTCCAGCTCAAATGTTTTCTGGAAAAGGGGACTTACACTCAACAATTTCATTTCATTTCTGAATTATCAAGTTACTTTAACATAAAATTCTGCCTCTGGTCTGCAGCTGTTGTCTAAGGGGGCGGGGGACATAGTGTGCCCATTAAGTGATCTAATTATTTAAAATGGAAATTCCCTTTAAAAAAGACAACATTGATATTTCAAAATTTTCACCAGTGGTTTTCTGTTGCATTGGGAAAAAAAATGATAAAAGAACCTGTGATTTTTGTTTTAAAAATTAGGAGAAGGGAATGAAAAACAAAGACCTGGCAAACATCTTCAGGAACTGCAACTGGCCCAACACACCCATGGGCCAGTTCACACCTCTAAACCATTGCCTGGGAGTCTACATACATATCTCCCCAACTGACCACACTCCCTTGTGCAGTTAATCACACCAAAGGAAGGGGCTTCCCTCGAATCCCAATTTTCCAGTGACTAGGATTGTTACCCTCATTTTAGGAAAAAAGATGATTGTTTTAAATTCTCCAACGGTGATTATTTCATTTAGTCGTGACGTCAACTTTTGTGGGAAAAACAAACCTAAATGATGCACGAATGACACCCCAGTGCACGCCAGGCTACACACTCACGGCACCGGCAATCCACCAGGCAGGGAGATGGTGTTTCCCTAATCCTGGCCATTTCAACCTGCAGCAATGACATTTAGACTTCTTTCTTCAGAAGTATAATCAGACATGATACAAACTCACAGAAAGTGACAAAAGCCAACTCCCTCAGAGGGCAGAGGTGTTTGGTATCCCCCAAAACAAGT